CAGACCTCAGTGACCGTGTGGGTGTGTATGGTTTTAAAAGATCTGCCAGGTACGGTGAGGCTAAACCGTTTATGGCTTTGTCTGCAAACAATAACATTTTAAATTGTATTCTAAAATTGACTGGTAGCCAATGTAAAGAGGCGAGTACAGGCGTAATATGTTCACGTTTTTGTAGTAGACGCTACAATTAGAGCCATCTCTAATGACCCCACAGCCTCGGATGAGTTGAGGCAAGCTAAGGAATACTAATCAGAGAATTAATATAATAATGTTGCCACTGTTCAAAGTTAACCACAGATCACTTGAATAATGTTGCATTCGATGTGTCCCTCATACCCGTGACTGCTAAACAATGCTGAGAGTAAAGCTGAAGCTCAGGTCAACTGGACTGTTAGCAACTAGCGGTTTGTTTATGTCTGCTCTGCCGTGGAGCCCCCTCATTCCATCCTCTGTTCCATCTTTACGTGCCTCAGGTCTGTAATTCAGAAAAGAGAGCTTAGTTATTGCTCTGGGACAGGAGGTCCAGATAGCATGGCAGTGAGCAACCTTGTAAAATTGTTGATGGGTTGTAAAATGCCAGGGAACAGCTTATGCAAAGGTTTTAGAGTGAACAGGGCACTGTAAACTTTTGCCTGCCATGAGGTAGGGAGAAAAGAGATCAATGTAGATAGATGGAGACGACTCTCATGAGCTGAGACGTAGGTGTGCATACAAGCGTGAAGTGTGTATTTGTCAGCTTGTTTTTATGTCTACTGGCTCAATGCATCTTTAGAATGGAGGTCTGCAGAAATCTCAGTAACATGCCTTCTCTGTTTCTGGAAGAACAAGGGAAGTAATCATCATCGTTGTATCTCTTCAGACTGATTCTGTATTTTACACCATATCAAATAATATCGGTTTTACATACTTTATTCTTAGATTTTCACATTCCACATGTCTTCTATTTCACTGAAAAGTCCATTATGAGTGTATGACCTGCAGGTTTTACATCACACTTATGTCAATTGCTGAGCTGTAAGGAGAACACAGAGATCCCCCCCCCCCCCCCATCCCTTTGGACATATCATTTACTCACTAGTGTGAATTATCAATATCAGCAACAGACTGCAGGTCTGTTTTTTCCCCTTGAGTCCAGTCTCAATTCTTACAATTCCTGTCAGATATCTAGAGCTAGTGTTTTTGTATTGGCACTGAGTAAATGGGCACTCTGCTGTTTATTGTGTGACATTGAGAGTGGTAAGATTAACTGTTAAAAGTGTTTGTCCACTCCATATTCAATACATACTAGGAATGAATCCCTAATGTTATCCTTTTAGTTTGTTATTGTAAGAGCTGCTTGTGGTAATGAACCCAATACTAATTTCAGAATAGAGCTTGAACCTGAATTAACTTTATGGAATCTCCTTTAACAATAGGAGGCAGGACTCTGCTGCCGGAGGGCTGCCCAATAGCTGATGTTAACTAGCTTGCTTCCTGCCGATATCAACATGGATTTGTCTTTCAATTTATTTCGCTCGCCATTTATAATCTGCAAAGCAAACATTGTGTTTGGGGAATTAAAACGATGCCTCATGGTTTTGTGTTAGAAAAATATCACTCGTCACGGCTTGGTCTTCAATATCAGGATACATGTATTTACGATCCTTGCAAGAATGGAAGTAGTCATCACACACAGAGCTGCATGGGACAAATAGTTCCCAGAACAGTGTCCTTCAGATGTTTTATATACAAGAGAGGGTGTTATTCAGTCACAAGATGCAGAATACCGGTTCTAAGCAGTGTTCAATGTTTAGTTCAGATTAGCTAAGGCCTGCGTAAGCAATAAACATGACAGTCACATGCCTATCTCCATAGAGGCTGAATCGTTGTCACATAGCTATCATATGCCTAAAACAGTGTGTCCTGACGCTCTTCTAGGTAATTATACATCCGGTTACACAGCTACGTAGGGCCTTTGTTATCATGTGCTACTCTGATATTAGAAGAGTACATTCAGTATTTTCCAACATGTTGTATGGACATTTTAAGTACTGATTCAGAATGATGTAAAATACAATTTCTGGTACATGGTATGTAACAAATAGATATCCTTTTTATTTTCAAATAATTACGCCAAAATAGACTCCTATCTTTAATCTTTTAGGACTGCTAGTATTGCTTCTTGACGTTGGGAAAGGTATTGGGGGAGAGAGTTAAACAAAGTTAAGGGGTCTCAGTGTTTCCCCTACATTCAGCAGCGGCGCAGCGAGACAGAGAGAGAGCGAGAGAGCACACCTTTATCTATTTAATATAGTTGTAAAAAACAAAGTAAGAAATCATTCCAATGTGTACTATAGGACTGTAAAAAAAAAACTGTTTAAAAGGGGAGTGATTTGTAAAATATGCATAAATAAAAAGAAAGAATGCTAAGTAGGTAACATAAGATAAGAATAAACAAGTTTAAATTATTTGTTATTGGTTGTGATCATATTCTAAAGATTTTTGGATTATTCAAAAGTATACATCTCCCTTTCATATGAGTGTTGAGAGCTGTATCCATCAATTAATTTTCATTTCATTTCCATAAATTGCCTTAAATGCACCAGATTGATGCATTTAACTTCATCATTTAAAAAAAATCTCCCGGGGTGCATGCACCCGGACCCCCCTAGAGGATGTGAGGTCCACCCCCAAATAAAGAAGGTTAAAATAATGAAATTGCATACATTTTATTTTGATTGTTTGTTATGTGGATGTGTAGTATTTGTGTTACTGTATGTTCAATAAAGGTGATTTAGCAAAATACACCTGTAGAGCCTCAAGAGCCTTTCTTGTGCTGGCAGACACATACTGTAGAAACATTTTGGCGGGGCGCACTTCGCACACACTAAAAAATGTCATGCGCGTCGCGCACATTTTGCTGGGCTCGCGTGCTTTAGCACCGCTGCTATGACTCCATCCTAGGGGAAATACTGGATCTTATAATCCGCTCATTGATCTCTATAAATTACCTAGTCGGTACTTGATGACATGCTAATGTGACTGTGTGGTTTGTGGGTTGAATGCTATCAATGTAATTTTTACTATCAGGAGTGATCTATGATTACATTTCTAGGAAACAAGCACTAAACTATTACTGTTTGCGTGTATCCGAGATAGTCAGCACCAACAGGAAATGAAGTTATGCTATGGCTCAAGATTCCTAGATTTCCTCAAGATTATTCTCTTTCTTTCTAGTTTTTAACACTTTTGGTTGGTCATTGATGTAATCTGCCGAGTGTTTTGTCTCAAACACTGTATAGCTGCAGTGTGCTGCAGTGTGAGTTGGACCTATGGGACCAATACAAGCCTCAGGGCTGTATGCAAGCAGGAGGAGGGGCGCCATGGTGAACTAGAGCAGTAGCTAGAAGAGAGACTGTTGTAACTGTGTTCACATCGTCATTTTGTGGGGACTAACCTAAAATACGGTTCCACAAGAACAACAATCTGATAAGATAAGGTAAGATGGACCTTTATTCATCCCTGTGGGGAAATGGTGGTTTTAACAGCAACAGGTTAAAAATGAAAAACAGGACAGCACAGATTCACACCGATTAATTCAATTAAAGATAAAATCAAAGATAAAAATGATAAAAAATGATGAAATAACAGATGAAGTAAAGTGAACATATATACAGATTGGGTCATATATACATATTATCTGATGATCTTTGAGTAGTTAGTTATCTTTGAGTAGTTAGAGTTAGTTAAATATAGGTCAGCGTTATGCTTAGAAAAAGGGTATATGTTGGAGTCAAGCAAATTGATGTTTGAGTAAAAGCGGGGTAAGCCTTCATTGAGTTGAATGAAAAGTAAAGACAATGTCGTTACAAGTACAAGTGTGTGTACAAGTGTACAAGTGTGTGTTGGCATATTTTTTTAGTTTTACAATGTTTTAGAACAAATGAGTAGATTTGAAAGCGATAAAAAAAAGCATATAGTTAATATGTTCACATACATACATATGTGTGTATTATTTTCATCCTGATTGTCTCCTGTTATTTTAATATGCTATCTGTCCAGGGAGAAAGACATGCAGAAAAGCATCATCACATCTTCCACCTGTGTAGTTTTTGACCATGTTCTGTTCACATCACGCAACACCTCTCTTGCTGGCTGTTGTAAAAGAGCAATGTAGCTGAAACCGACAGTGTGTATGCTGCTGGTGTGTTTTGTGCTTAATCTGATCCAACTGCTGAGTGGGGACAGTGACTTGGGGATGTCACAGGGGGCTGTGAGGATGTGACATGTGGCCTTGACTTAGTGGCAGATGGTGAAGCCCTGCTGTCAGAGTTTGGTGTGAAAATAGCTGACCCAATGTTTTAAGTTCATCTCATACACTGGATGGTTTATCTTGTTACTGGCCAGTTATTATTATATAACCACACCTCTGTTTTAGACAGTGCACGGCTCGAAAAATCCCTTTCATAAAAATATAATAGAAGAAAGAAGCACTGAGTTTAGTTTTAAGTGAGATCTGAAGCACATCCCTCATCAGCTCTGCCACAAGTTCATGTTCATATAAGTGACATCTAGATGCTGATTAGAGCAGGTCAAATGTCAAAGTAATTGTTATTTGCATAAGTGATATAAACATACTGTGCAAGTATTGGTTAGACATTAATATTTTCTTTCTCAACCTTTATGATTTACTTATAATATATGATGTCCTTTACTATCTTTGTATATTTGTTATGTAAAGAATAGCATGTGGATCTGTCTCAGGACATATGTAAAGGATTTGCACAGCCCATTTTCCTTCTGAGCATCATGCAATTGCAATTTTAAGAGTTTAGAGTCGAAGGAAAACTTCCCACTCTGTTTTGTGACCTAACAATCCTATTTCTCATTATCACCCCTCGTACCTTGTGCACATCCAGGCAGAAAAAGGAGATCAAAGCTCAATCTTCATGCTGCACTGTGTGTCATGTGGGTGTCAGTTTGATGCTCAGTTTGACGCTCTCTCTCCTCTTGTGTTTTAGGTCATCGCCTGGAGCAAACAGTAGAGCTGCTCTGCCTACCTACAGATATCAGTGAGTTGGCTTGACTGTGTTTTGGCAGGTTATTACAGTATATGCAGGGCTGCACATAACTGGTGCGCTGGTGCGCATGCGCACTTCCGCCAAAAAAAGAGCACAGTGTCATTTGAAAAAAGGCGCATTTGCGTACCAACATTGAGAGAGGGAGAAAAGAGAAGGGAGAGAAATATATTTGCGAGTTGCATATGAACCTATGATATGAACTCAGGGCCGGCCCGTAGCACTGGCGTAATAGATGTTAGCCTAGGGCGCCAGATCAGGTAGGGCGCTGCGCTGACAGCTCTGGGAGGGAAAAAAATATTTTTGACCGTTGGTGCTCATCCAAATTTTCGGCCTCGATGTAACAATATTCATAATTAAGTAAATGTAACACCCTTTTCACCACGGTTACACGTTTCATTTGCCCTGTATGATGGGCGCTGTAAGTGATGAAAATTGGGGATGTTGGCTTATCTGGCGCCCGCAGCTCACAGCCAAAATGCGAGTGAGCGTGGGAGCGAGCAAGGGCGCTCCGGTACCGGCGCTTTTGTTATTAGAATCTGGTGCTAGCTGCTCTAACGGATATAAGAAGAAGATGTTTCTACAATAATGTGGAGGGAGAGTCCTCTCCAGTCAGACTGAGAGGCTGATGACTACAGCTCAGTGAGGTAAAGGACTCTGAGTGTTTAGATAGTTAACTTTAGTCTAAGTTCAAACGGTTTGGTCACAATTTATGTAAACACATATTTCCAAGGCTATAATTATTGGGATAAACAGGTTTGAAATCATTCCAATGTATACTATAGGACAGTAACCAAAAATATCCTTTAAAACTGGAGATAAAAAAAAAATGCATAAATAAATGTTAAGGTAAAATAAGTTATATTAATTTGTTATTGGCTATGGTAGGTTATAGGTTATGTTCACATACTTATTTGATTACATCCACTTGTCTAAGATGACAACAGAGACTTTCGACCCAAAACCAGCTGTTGACTTGTGGATGCAAGCAGCTAATCGCAGACTCAACCAGAGAGAAAGTAGTAAGCCTACATCATCAGCTACCATGTCTGACAGAGAGGAAGACAGTGAGGAGAACAGTCAGGAGGGTAGTGATGACAGCTTGTAGGATTACTGGTCGTGCTAATGTTGTCTTGTGTTCACCTCTGCATGTGTGTTCAGTGCCGTGTGTCTGGCAAATAAAGTCAAGACCCCCTCAAAAGTTACGGTTTATTTCATTTTAAGGATGAGCACCAAGCAACATCTCCAGGTGCTCCTTTGAGAACCAGGGCAAAAAAGTTATGTGCACCCCTGAGTATATGGAAGAGTGTGGGAGGAATTTTTACAAAGCACCATGAATAATTGTTAAGTTCTTCCAAAATGTAGAGATATTCAAACGAATGTGCTGGGCAATAACAGGACATTACTGACAGTGGGACCACTGTCCAATGTTTCTGTGTAGACCTGTTGCTAGGCACTGAACAGGTAGACAGCCTCCGGGCCGTAGGGAGCTCCTTCACCTGCTTGGCTGTCCTCTGAGTCATGCTATTGGGGCGTAGAAAACAACAGAGAAGGGAAGGGTAGGGTAGATGGAATTATAACTAAAATGGTGGAAGAAATATAGAAGGGAAGGTTCAACAAAAATTCTGGAGCTTTATTTAGCTAGGTGACAAGCTTACATTGTTTGGCTGCATCGAAACTTGTATCTGTTGTGTTTTTATTTGGTATATGAATCGTGATTAGGGTTGGGTATCGTTTGAATTTCCACGATTCCGATTCCGATTCTACTTTTCGATTCCGGTTCTTAACGGTTCTCAATTCCGATTCTTTGAGGGGCAGGGTAAAAAAATGATACATGCTTCTTCCACCAAAAAAGATTACATTTATTCGAGAAACTTTTACACAGGTTAGTTTACAGTAATATTCACATTAATCAGTCTGTTTATATTCACTGCTATGTAACTGTAACCTGAGAACCACTGAAGCTACAACAGTGCAACAATCCAACTTTGAAAGGAACCCCCCCCCCCCATTTAAAAACAGTTCTTGTTGAGAAAAACAAGCATATCTGCCTTCTCAGGCATACCGGGAAGAAATGTTTGAACATTTTGAAGTAAAATGCTTCAATCTGGTGCACTTTAAGCAGAATTACTAGAGACTAGATCTAGGGGGTACAACTCTAAACACCCATATGAAAAAGATCGGTTTACATTTTAATAATCAAATAAGTGTGTGAACATAACCAATAACCTACCATAGCCAATAACAAATACATGTAACTTATTTTATTTTACTTTTTTATTTATGCATTTTTTTATTTTTTTCCAGTTTAAAACGATATGTCTGGTTTACTGTCCTATAGTATACATTGGAATAATTTCAAACCTGTTTTATCCCAATAATTATAAAGGAGTGCCTTGGAAATATGTGCTTACATAAATTGTGATCAAAACGTTTGAGACCCACTGAGATAACTTAGACTAAAGTGAACTATCTAAACCAGAGGTGCCCAGTACGTCGACCGCGGTGGACCGGTCGACCGCGGGGGCAAAGCTGGTAGATCGCGAGTCATAAAATAAAAAATCCAGCTCCGTTAAAATAGACAAAACAAGTTTTGATCCCTCCTCCCTTGGCCTCCCTGCCACTTAATTCAGGAGTTTACTTGATTGACAGAAAAAGCGACCTATCGCTTTCCAGTCTGTTAACCCAGAATGCAAAGCGATGCAAAATCAGTCAAGTGCCGGGAAAACTCAAATTAAGTTAAAGAGACAAACAACAAAATGATTGCGGGACCGAGCAAAAAGCTAAAAACATACCACTTCCACCCAAAATGGGAGGAAGAATATTTTTTTGTGATGTCACATTCAAAGGTTATTTGCCTTTAAGTTATTTGTAAAGCAAACGTCGCTCTGCCAAAGAAAGGTAACGTGGAGAGGCATTATCGGAGTGTTTCAAGGCACACACACACATACGGGTATTGGGCCGAGCGCGACACCGTACTTCCGGTCTGCGCCGTTTTACGCGAGGTGCAAGCAGCCGTACACCGTCTAGGTGTTGCTAAGCTTCCTGTACTGAATATCATAGTCTATTGTCTTAATCAATATCTAGTCAACTCTAAAATACCACATATATGCAATGGCATGATAATATTATTGTGACAAGTGGGGTATTCACCTGGTGTTTCCAGAAATTAGACGTAGATGCAGCCAAAATCGACGAAGGCCACTGTCGTTTTTCCATACATCTGCAGGCAGTCTGTAACAACCCACACAGCTCTAGTTTACGCTGGTAACGACCTAAAGCACACCCCTCAAGTCCAGAGATGTAATCCGAAGACATGCAGCGATTTCTTCGGTCGTTAATTCAGGAAAAAAAACCTACTGCGCTCTGCCTGGCTAGTTAGCTAGCTGTTTATATTTGCACATATTTGGAAAATGGCGCATTTATATATATTGATATGGCGCGTGTTGCATTGTGGGTAGCTCGTGACGTCACTGTGTGTGAAAGACATTCTTTATCAGCGACAGCGACTTCCCTCCGAGTAGCGAGTTGAGAAAGAGAAAGGTCATGTATTATTGCTACACAAACATTATCTCGCAGTCTTAGTGTCGCCAACTCGTTTCTAATATGCAAAAAGACAAACAAATGCGTCTATGGACGGTGTATTTTTGATCTTTCCAATCGAGACGAGATCTCTCTCTCCCCCGTCTGTGTGCGAGGGGGGCGGGGCAGTTTACACACACACGCAGCTGCTACATGCATCAACACACGGCGGGGATGGCGGAGAGAAGCGCTCCAATGTGTGGTTAAACTTTACGCGTCTCGATGTGGACAATGCTCGTTGCCAAGAGTGTTTAGCATGTAAGGGCGGTAACTCGAGCAATTTGTCTAAACATTTAGCAAAAGTGCACCATATTCAGACGGAGGAATGCACCGGGTTCGACTGTCTTTCTAGTAGCTCTGTAGCCCTATCCACGAGTAACTTTTCCACGTCAGGTGTTATGTATGCTGGCAGCTACACGGAGTTAACTTCATTATACAAACATGGGTTACTGATTAGAGGTAACTGAGTTATTTAGTTTGTTAAAGTTTCAGCTATTCTGTTTACAGTTCTGTTATCAGATTATTTAATACGATTTGTTAAAACACTGTTGTTTCTTTTGATGTGAAATATTATTTATTTATTTAAATAAAAAGCAATGTTAGTTTTGTAAACAATTTAAGTTAATTTAATAATATATGTATTTTTGAATCAAGTATTCATCTTTATTGTCTTCATTGTTAGTTTCCACATGCCTAAAACAACCTCAAGCTAAATCTAAAAGTAGATGGCTAAATAAGAGCGTTTGAGAAATTGTGCAAGGCATACAGTAATAGTCTGAATAGTCGATTAATCGTTTCATTAATCGATTATCAAATTAGTCATTTGTCGCAGCCCTATTGTAGTTATCCCATGTATAAATAAAACGTGTTATTCAGCAACCCTTGCAATTTGGGATTTTATTTTTGGTTGGTAGACATCGGTGAGCTGGTCATTTCAAAAGTAGCTCACCAGCCAAAAAAGTGTGGGCACCCCTGATCTAAACACTCAGAGTCCTTTACCTCACTGAGCTGTAGTTATCAGCCTCTCAGTCTGACTGGAGAGGACTCTCCCTCCACATAATTGTAGAAACATCTTCTTCTTATATCCGTTAGAGCAGCTAGCACCAGATTCTAATAACAACTGCGCCGGTACCGGTGCACCCTCCCTCTCTCCCTCGCTCACTCGCACTTTGGCTGTGAGCTGCGGGCGCCAGATAAACCAACATCCCCCATTTTCATCACTTGCAGCGCCCATCGTAGCCTACAGGGCAAATTAAAAGTGTAACCGGGATGAAAAGGGTGTTACATTTACTTAATTATGAATGTTGTTACATCAAGGCCGAAAATTAGGATGAGCACCAACGGTCAAAACTTTTTTTTTTCCTCCCAGAACTGCCAGCGCAGCACCCCCCAGAACTGGCGCCCTAGGCGAACATCTATAACGCCAGTGCGACGGGCCGGCCCTGGTCCCAGGTTACGCTGTAGGAAGTGTAGGTACAACGCTACATTTCCCGCCCCGCCGCAGTCATACAGTAGGCTACGGAGAGCGGCGAGAAACATTTCCTCAGGCATCGAAAAGCGGAACCGAAATTCACATTTCTAAATGATGCCGTTGGAATCTAAATGTTGGAACCGGTTCTCGGTACCCAACCCTAATCGTGATGGTAGGATATTACAGAAACAGAGATCCTCTGTTATCAGTTATGCTGGCTTGTTGACAATGCCAATTACCTTGGTTCCAGGCGAAGTAACTCGCATTCTTCACACTATGTTAATGTTTTTACACATCAGACACTGATCCTATTAATTGATATCATACTTCCCGAACAGGCACATTGTTGTGTTTTGCAATATCTGGTTTAAAAACAAAATATCACACGAACAACTATGCAATCTTTTTTTAATCAGTTTATTTACCTCTCACTCAGCTATTGAAGTAGCTGACCAAGCTGATAACAAAGAAACTGCTTGGGTATCAAAACACGTTATTTACTAGAATGGCACTCTATGAGCTCAGACATCCACCAAGGCCATTGCTGCACTCAGATGCTACTGGCATGGTCTCATTTCAAATTTGGGAGGTCATTCACTGATTTTAATGTATCCATGAGTTTTAAGTGAAGTGGAATCAACAAGGACACTTACAAAACATCTGTTGTTTTTAATTGCTTAGAGCTTTCAAAACAAGACGTTTAGATTTCATTTAGAAGTTGTTTTTCCGACTTGAGGGGTTGTTCATGTGAATTTTCCCTGTCTGGAACTAATACTCAGATTATTCCGCTCAATACGTCAAAAATGCTTTATCTCCCAATGTTTGAGAAAGTGAAACAGAGAAGTTTATCCACCCTGTGTTTTCTGAAAATCAGGCAAACAGTTTCTTTGCTGAAAAAATTGCTGAAAAAGTACCTTCCTTGACAGAGAGCATGATAGTTACGATATGTCATTTGTAAATATGTTACAAAGAACCAAGTGTCACAATTTGGACATAATGTGAAAGATACATGTCCACATCACCCAGCTCTTTGTAAGCAAGAGTGCAAGATCAGGATTTGGGAATTAAATAGAGAGGGAGGAGAAAGGGAGGAGGCGGGCAGCTTGTGTGTTGATGATGATGATGATGGAAGAGGAGGGAGAGCATCATGGGAGAACCTGACTGAGTACATACTGTACAGTAGTGGGGAAAGGGAACGCATAAACAACAGTTGAACAATTCAGTGTTGTAAGCCTCTCACCGCTGCCTCCCCTCATCATTTATTAAATGTTCTGCTAGAATATTCATCCACCCCGGTACAGCGCCATCCTCCTAGAGACAGGGAAATTAATAGAGCTCTGTATCATCCTGACAGCCTTTTGTTAGTGTAGTGTAGTCACTTGCATATTATCCATCAACACACATCTTCCATCCATTACCCTTGTCTGCTTATTTCATGGTTACTGTTGATTTTGACCACAACCTTTTCTATAAAGGGATTAAATAGAGGCAGGGCAGGGCCGTCTGCTCTGGGTTTCAGACTTTGACCCACCATGTTGGTCTGTAAGGAGATGCGACTCCAGAACCAGATCACTGACATAAGCCTCACAGCCATGCTTACACTTGAATAGCTCTGTAAACAGCCTCAGAATAGGTCTCCATGCATCTACATGTCAGTGATACGGGAAATCCATGGTGGTTTGTATTCATACAGGGAACTTTAGCGGGAGACTAGTTTTGAGGATGGCTGCATTTTCAATTTGAGTCTGCCAGTGCGGTGCAGTGAAGTGTGCTCAGTCTGCCAGCTGCTATGCTTCACTTATTCTGATTACATCCTTTGAAGATGAAGGGAAGGACAAAGAATATGGCAAACCTGTAACTTGTTTTAAATCATCAAAAGCCAGAGTGGCTCCATTAATGTGTGCATTGGTTCTGTGATACCTCACTGTGCAGATACTGATAACTAACCCCTCCGAAGGCATGGGGGAATTTGATGCCACGCTATATAGTAAGTCACTTCGGTCAGCACATATGCTGTTAACTTTGTGAAGAATCATCTGTACTTTCCCCTTCTTCTTTTTCCTTAAAGTGGACCTATTATGCTATATTGGACAAATATATTGTAGGGCCATACCTATACAAAACATGTCTGTGAAGTGTTTTGCTTAAAATACCAAACAGATCATCCATTGTAGCCATGCCTCATACTGCTCAAACCCCTCTTTTGCAGCCCTGTTCGAGAAACGCGGATTTTGGGTCCTTAGCTTGAAAAAAAAAAGAGGAGGCGGAGCTAATGCCTGATCAAAATTCTACCGGAGATAAAGTAAAATTCTGCTGAGATAAAACGCCATCCTGTTTAAACCACATCAAAGATTATTTCTGAAACAGTATGGAGCTCAAATGCTTTTTCTCTTGCGGGTTTATCACAAGGTGAGTTCCTTTTTTTATTTCCTGCTTTTTAAACACATGTGCTCTACACAGTACAGGTTAGCTCTGAGTGTTAGCGAGGCTTGCTAATGTAAACAAAGACGAGATTACGTCCAAAACACGTCAGGCATGGTTTCTGATAGCAATTTTCTGTGGGTCCGCTGCCGATTTGACGTCAGATCGGCAGCAAATCTGTATCCGCTCGTTGTACCCCTGTTTTTAAAAGATTTGGGTACGGAGGAAAAGAGAGAGGGTTTTATTTTCTGACGCTGCGTGAGTTCCCCGACGCACCGGGGACACATATTTATGTATAAAAGACATCACAAAGTGCATTTCGCATGATAGGTCCCCTTTAAAGTTTTTTTAGAGATTTACATTTTCTGAAACTTAAAAGAATGCCCCGTCAGTACTTTGTCTGTATTTATATATATATGAATTTGTGCCTGTGTCTGCATGATAATGTGGTATGATTTTGTGATGAGAGAATTAAAATGTGACACTAGTCACACGTGGCTTCTTGTTTATTCAGCAAATATTTGTTTCTGTTTTACCAGTTTCCTGTAAACTACATCTGGTCGACATTAGGCATGTCTTGTAATTAATTAGATGCCCTAATTATTCCTGAATATGTACAAAAATACTACAGTATAAGCTGCAGGTGTTTTCCTACACAATGTTTTTTAATAAATGGTCAAGGTAAATTATAGAGAATATACAAATCTAGATGTATAAGTTATATCAGCAATAAGTTAGGGTTTAGAAAATATATTTATTTATCAAATGTAAAAAAAGTGTGAGACATAAAGTATTGAAAACGGGAGGGGCACCAAATCAAGACTGTTAGTGAAATAAGGGGGAATGTTAACATGGACGTGCTGAATAAGCCAAGTTAATTTTCAGATAAAAGCTGATAAAGGAGTAACAATGTTCTCCCTTCCAAATTCAGCACAGACCCAAACGCTCTCAGTGGCTGTTCAGATCGCCTCTGCTCTGCAATAATGTACTCACAGGTCCTCATAATGGTGTGATTGTAATGTCACAATTTCATTCACTCCTGCAGGTCGATACTAAAAGGTCGGAGTGCCGGGTCAAATACTGAACATTGAATCAGACCCTATGGTGAGTCATTATATTGCTCAGGGAAACTTCAGCAGGTGACTCTCCAGCTGAAAGCAGTTATTTGTATCCTCAAGGCCACACTACTGGCCATTAATACTATAGGGACTCAATGGGGGAGAGGTCCATGGTTTTAGTTTGGAGCAGATAGAGCCAGATCAGATACAAAGTGACGTGATGTAAGGGGATTCAAATGAGAGCAGTAATACTCCAGATTTCTGTCGTCATGGGATGAGTGCTGCTGTTATCTGTGTTTGGTCAGCCAGCCCTGCTCACCCCCGGCAGAGCTTTCCCTGTCCTTACTGTCGCTTATGATGCCTGGCTGCATCCCTGGGGAGAGTGAAATTAGTACTCAGCAGCACATCACACGATAACTGAGGCAATATTCCTACATCTGCCATCATTGGTATTGATCTAATCCCTCTCAGATCTGACCTTTCCATAAAATAAATACAAGCATTACAGTCCTCATGACCTATTTGTACATACTTATGGAACATAAACATAATCAGTGGAAACATAATCCTACATACATTGAAGTCAATACAAATGGTTAAAACCCTAGGGAGAGCAATAAAGAAGGAATCTGTCACCTTAAAAGTTGATGTATGGGCAGAAATAGCAGTAGTAGAAATACAGTAAACAGATTAATTTAAAGGTAGAGATGTATTCAACAGCTTCTTTGTTGTTTGATTTGCATACCAAACTATTTTGTTCAAATGACAGACGTAAAGTAGATACAAGAATGTCCAGCAGTGTAAGGCCCAACGGTGTTGATTTGCACATAGTTTAATTTCCCAGGACCTTTTGCTGCATTTTGTTTCGTCCATTCATAAACTTGAGCGGGAGAACTCATTGCTGCAGACAAGAACCCATCCCAATCTGCAACAAATGGACAGTGTTTTGTTTAGGAATCCAGGAAAGATATCTGTAATCCTTGGTCTTCTTTTAACCATTGACTTTTATGGTCTTTATTAATATTTGCAATCATGATCATTTTTATTTGACTGCAGTTTTATGTTCCACTTCCCTTTGCTTGATATAATTGGAATTAGAATACCACAGCTAAATGCACTCTACAATGAATGGTTCCCTATACTTTACCTTGAGTATTTCCCCCCTCTGTTTTAGGCTACTCACCATCAGGAGCAAGTTCCCCTGATGGTTTCCTTTTTTCGTTATCTTAATACTTCTTTTTGTAAAGAGGACACTATTTTGTGTGACTACATGCATCAGTCCATCAATATATGTCTATTGTTGTGTGGCAGTATGAATACAATTATGACATCGACTTCCAAGAAAAACACCCAAAGGCTAGCTGCAAAATACAAAAGTTTCAGTGTGGATAGACTCGAGAACACATTTCTTCTCTTCTTTAAAGACCTTCACACTAAGCCAGAGCCAGCCTCATTACCAAACCCAGGCACTGACTGTGTTCCGGCACATTTTGCACTGAGCAATGTGAGGAAGATTTCCCCAAAGAAATCTAGGTTTAGCAATCCGCAATCCTAAAATAGCTTTGAATCATATATTATTACATAGCAGGGCTGCCTCCTCTGTCAAACTGCACTTGCTGCTGTGATTGTCTCCTTGTTGTTTAACCAAGCTTCCACATTTGAAAGATTCCCAAATCTCATTAGCATAGCTTTATAGTTTATTTGAAGAGACTCACAGATGGCTTTTTTGTCTCTCAAAAGTAAACGTACTTAAAAGGAAAACCACCTTTGTAGATTATGCAACAAACATGAATAGATAGTGTCATGTTTAGATTTGCAATGTATAAAAGAACACTTGCTGGGGAATATGGAAAAGAGCTGCTTTTGGGAAATGATGGCATGTATAATGTGTTTGTGTGTGAGTAGAGTGGGCAGGTTTCAATCTTCCAACCTGTGAAATCTTGGAAAATCTTCCAAGTTGTGAAAAGCGCTATATAAATAAAATGCATCATCAACCTGACTCTGTGTTTCCCTTGGGTTCAGTAATGCATGAAGGATGCTGGGAGGTGTGACACCCCCCACTGAACCTGCCACTACTTCATGAGGATTGATGTGACAATTTGACTTACAAACACACACACATATACAGTACACACCACACTTTGGGAGTCAGATGTAACATACTGGGGCTAACTGTGTCAGCAGTAAGCAAATGCTGTCATGACAATCACACATACACAGGCGCACACATGCACACAAAGATATCTTTGCAACATGGCGACTGGGCTGATAAAAAGCAAGCCTCTTTGTCTTTTGTTCTTATAAAAAGCGGTGCTTCACCTCTGTGCGGCTGACCAGGCCCTGTGTGTGCGATTAATCCTCAGCTCTGTCAGCTGGCCAGCATCGATACAAAAAACAAACAAAAACTCACACAATGCATAGCAGTGTTTATTCTCTCACAGTCTATTTCAAGATCTGCAGATGTGTGCAGTTTGGGCAGAGAAGAGTAAACTCTGTTATGTTCCTCAGACATTGACACAATGGAAAACATGGGTACCAGGAATGCTTTGTTTTTAATTGATAGTTAATTAAGTCCACATTTTGTTGGATTGTTCAAGGCATGTTACACTCGAATGAATCTAGCCTAAGCATGTATAGGTGTGGAGAAGTCTAGGGCTGATAGAGTCTGCACTACAGTTGGTGTGTGTGTGTGTTTGTGTGTATTCCTTGTTGTGATGTGAAAGCTGATGAATATTTTCCTCCCGTTTTCCCTGAGGGTTTGTGTGATTGACCGAACCCCAAGTTATTTCATGTGCCTGCCACCAAACTACATTAGCAGGCCCGGCATTTACCGCTCAGCCTGTCAGTCTCTCAACAAAATAAGGAGATATTTCCCGACACAGTATTGCTTGCACTGTTCTGTGCTGTCACTGAATACAATGACCATCACCACATTCAATGAATAATTTTCGCATTTCTCTCAGAATTCAGTCAATATAGATCACGGCTTTGTGGACGTAAAAGTACACGCTGTCTGATAACCGAGCTGCCTCTTGGAGAACATATATATAATAGTTGATACTGCCGTGTATTGTCCAGTCTGTTTATGTGTATTATGAGGCAGCTGTCAAACATTGATTATTGCTAGCCATTAACAAGAAGTCACCTGGTTCAGCAGTTTCAAGCTGATGCCGTTCTGGTTTGAAAAGACCTGACCGAGGTTAAGCGAGTGAAATAACCGTGTTGATTAAAAGTTGACAGAATGAGGATTAGACGCCCAAGGAGTGAGCTGTTTTTGGGGAGGGGTCAATAAGAAGCAGGATTGTGAAAGAGCTCTTACTGAGGGATCAGGTGGACCATTGTGAGAGCCGGGGAGCAATTTTCTCCTCTATCTTTCATGAGTTTGATTGACAGTCCAGGACGAATTAGTTCAGTGTAGCTGACCAGCAGTGCTTCTTGTTATCATCCATTATGCTCATGGGCGGTGGGTACTGTAGGTTAGGGAAGGCTAAGCCTTCCCAAATATTTGTGTCACTGCATCCTGGTAAAATAAAAATAAAATGTATAATGTTTGTGTCTTTGACATTAGCGCTGCTATGCAGCCACCTGTGCCCTGTGCACTACGAAGCCAGTTCAACATACCCTGGATATGTTTGAGTTATCTTAAAGGTGACCTATTATGCAAAATGTACTTTTGTACGTCTTTTATACATGAATATGTGTCCCCGGTGTTCCAGGGAACTCACCAAGTGTCAGAAAACACAACCCTCTCTATTTTCCTCCATACCCAAATCTTTTAAAAAGGGTCTGCAACGGATCTGATACAGACTGATCCAGATTTGAACACTTCTATGACGTCACAGAAGTGGGGCTACGGCTATTGGGCCAACTCCACCAATCGGGAGGAGACAGCCACGGACATTGCCGTTCGAAAGCGCTGGAGACGCTGTAGTGCATATGCCAGGCCTGTAGATGGTGCTGTTCTCACAGAATCAGCCCATGAAAAGACAGTGTTGAATTGAGCGAAATGAGGAATGGCTAAAATGCATGATCTGTTTGGTATTTTGAAAAATAAAAAGTATAAATATGCCTTATGTAGGTATGGTCCTACACTATATTATTCAAATATAGCATGATAGGTCCACTTTAACTAACCCTAATAAACGAGATCTCGCTAAGCGGTCCTACAACGCTGGTTATCAACTCGGTAAATAAAGCCAGGGTTTCTCTCTCCAGCGAGCGCGTTCACGTGAAAAGGGCGGGGTTAGCATCATTTGACCAATCACAAACAGGGACAAGTGTACTGACAGCGCAGCGTCATACTTCATTAATGAAAAGTAAACTAATATTAGACAAATATGAACTTTAAACATCCATGACTTAAACACATAATCCAGGATACAAGCCACATAGTTGCACCTGCAAGGTGAATATAGAACAACTGGTTAAAAAATAAATAAACTACCAAGTGTTTGAATGCGTATATTAACAGGTTTATGATATCGCTGCCTCATCTAAGACACGAGTGGATCGGACTTTAATTACATTTGAGTTGAGTGTTTCGTCAACTTAATGTGTTGCTTAAAATAATACTTCTGCATACAGTATGTGACACTGTGTTGCACGGCCAGACACGGCTCAAGAAGCTGACTCAGATAAGGAAATATATGATACATTATGATATATGATCGATGATCTGATTGATTGATTGTAATTTGAATGATAAGTGCACGTCGGCATCTTTTCTGCATACGGCAGTTTACTGTAAACTGTATTTCCTTTATCCTGTAATATGACTTGATAGATTTAAACTCTGCTCACTGGGCTCTGATTGGTCAGCAGGCGGTGCTTTCACTGAGAGTTGATCTCTTTTCTATAGACACCGGAGGCGTGCAGCGTCAGGTAAAAAAAGTTATTTAGCCTTCCCAAACCTGAGCCTCACGCGCCGCCTATGATTTTGCTCAATTTGCTGTTTGCAGAGGTCCATATAGTGTGTATATATATACACATATATATAGTTTTTATCCTATTTTCTCATTCAAGCGGATGGAACTAATGCATACACAA